GGGGCCGCAGGGGGGAGAAAAAGGGGGGGGGGGGGGGGGGGGGGGGAATTGGTGCAGGGGCCCTGTCAGATAGGCTGTACAGAGGGCCCCAGACATAATGCCATGATTTCTAATGGCCTGGTTTCCAGGATTTCTCTGAGCTTGGTTTGTTAGAACATGGACATTTCACTCACTATAGCTACCAGATCCCTGCTCCTACCAATGAAGGCATTATGGCATTATGGAGATGTCATTTAAAGTGTATCTAAGCTCAAAAATTAATTTTCATCTGGTAACCCTGCAAAAAACACACTCCCTGTCCTAGGGTAACAATGCTCACTCACTGTTCTGTATTTAAAACTAAAGTCCGGTCACAAAAACTTTCATATAAATATATTCCTAAATCCATATTGTATACACCAAATTCCATTGCAAACCAAAATATTACCTTGTCGAAGTAGCGGTGGCATCATCACTGTGCTGCATATAGCCTATGCTGAGAGCAGAGCTGTTGTAGAAACCCAGCAAGTCCAACCACCGCAGGCTACCTACAAAAAATTACAGGATGGGGTGGATACAAGACCAGTCACCCTGTACAAGAAGAGAGAGCAGCAGTGACTGGACTTTATTACAGCAAGCTCCTGCACAGAGGACAATGCACAGATTTGGAATAAATACACAAATGACACCAAGACTCATGTAAAGGTACATATGGCTTCTGCATTAGGACTAGCTTTACACTGTTCCATGTGCATGCATCATGTGTTGTAATGCACAAGCATAGGTGTGAAAGGACCCATATACTGTAGTTACAAGGGTGATTTAAACAAGGAATTTACAATGAGCTAATATAAAAGCAAATGTTAATGTTTCCTCCAGCTGTATTTACATTATTTTATTTCTTAGTATATACTGGAATAAAGTTTGTTATATATATATTATTGCTTGTAGTGTATGTCAAGGCAAAATAAAAAAAATAAACATATGCAGAACATTTCTGGAATAAATGCACATTTACAGATGCTCTCTGCCTTTGAACACACTGCAGGACAGAAATAAAACTGTTATTTTGCCAGAAAAATATGCTTTTCTTTACCTCTTTGACTTAACAACACAGCTCTGAATTCCCAAGCATGTGGTGTCAGCCCTGCCTACTTCATTTCTGGTGAATTACAAAGATCACTGACCTCTCCTCCATAACCCCACCTTGTATAAAGGCAGAGAACACAGCACGTCGTCAGCTCACAAGATTCCTGGCTCACAGGATTTCTTTTTTGGCTACTTATAGAACAGATGTAACAAAACACTTTGAATTGTATATTTAACAGATCAAAAAAGAGCTAGTAAGAAAAGTTAATGATTAGGGTTTATATATACTTTGTTAGTAACTACTATTTTTGACGTGCTCTCAATGTTAGATGAGTCTGTTTTAGGTGCAAGGAATAGAGAGGGGGATTTATCAAAACTGGAGCAGACAAAATTTGGAGCAGCTGTACATGACAACCAACGTCTATATTTTATTTTCAAATCTTAACTGAACAAACTGAAGAGAGAAGCTGATTGGTTACTATGGGCAACTGCTCCTGATTTTGTCTGCTCCAGTTTTAAATCCCCCCAGAGTGTCCATAATACAGTGCTGTGCTGAATAGACATCTGACTATACATCTGCCTGTTCTTGCGCCAATTGAAAAGTCAGTTTTTGTGTTACAGACCGTGATCTTCAGAATCTGAGACATTTCTGATTGTTGGTAATACTGCTTTATCAAACTGACAATTACAGATCATATTCAGTCATAAAACTCTGTAGGTGTTAGGCTACCAATCCTTAAAGGAGTTAAAGGAGGTAAAGTCACAGCATACTATATACTATCTTGTTATGACATCAGAATGTAGTGAGTGCTGCCTTCTGTCTGTCCAATGCTTTCAATTACTTCCTGGATTCCCAGTGTGCTTTGCAGCCCTTTCCCTGCTGCTTGATGGGATGTAATCTCAACTTCTCAAGACTGCATATCCCATCATGCATTGCTTCCAGCAAGCAAGGATAATGTCACATTGTTCAAACATTGAGTTGTAGTTCAGAAGGCAGGGTGTTAATTATTTGCCTCATATGATTTTTTCATTGTGGAGTACATACTTTATACTGATTCACACATTTCTGTTTAGAAAATACATTCCTTTTTTTCATGCTCATTGATATTCTTACTGTACATCTGTAATTTTCTTGGTTTTCATGCTTTTATATAATTTAAGTTCTATTGTTAGCTGGTCTCTGCTGTCATGCATTTAAGCCTGTGAAAACTATGACAGATGCATTTATCATGTGCTTTGTATGTTCTTATATTAATTTCAGTGGGCCCTAGATGAGTCTTAGCATACTGTAAATATTACATTCAGGACTTTAGTAAACCGTCTGCTTGTCAACCCCTAGATATGAATACAGTCTGCTAAATTATTCCAACCTTGGATGTTGTTGATGCAATTTCCTTTCGTTTTAACCATACAATGCATAAGTATAAAAAAGCATGTAGCCTAAAAGCAAAGCAATAGCCTAGCCTAAAAGAGGTATTTGCATAGTTGAACTCTCTGTTATGAAAAAGTCACAGTAATAAATGAGTAAAAAAAAAAAAGATGTGAAGACTTTTTAGATAATTTGTATGTGTTTGTATGCTTTGTTGACAGGGCAGATATCATTATAGGAATGTTAAATAAGTTGAAATTGGCTTTACTATATAACCTATTCCAGACCGATGACGGAATTATCCCATCACCATCGTTCAGTTCGTTAACGGCCGGTGACGGGATAATTCCATCAATCAGTACAATGAGCGCTGGTCCATGAAGGGACCAGCAGCTTATTGAGTTACTGCTGTTGATGGGTCCCTTGGGGGCCGAGGCAGACCCTCAACAGTAGATTAGGTGGTCACAGCTGGGTGATCACAGCGAGAGCTGTTTGCTGTGGTCGCAGAGCCGTGACAGTCACACAGCCGGTAGCTGCTCACTGTGTTGTGTAAACAGCTAGGCGGCTGTGTTTACAAACTGATACAAAGTATCTGAGGAGAATACTGTATTTTCCTCAGATAGACCAAGTATCAAACCCCTGCAAATAAAGAAAAAATAACCTCTTAGTGCCCTCTAGTTTAAAAAAAAATAAAATAAAAAGATAAAGCTTTAAAAAATGTAAAAAAAGGTTTTAAAAAGTCAAAAACATTTGAACAAAAATACATTTATTAAAAACAATATAAGAAAATATAGTGCGGAGGAGGCTATTAAAGATTAAAGATAGGAGAAAAACATACCACATCATAAAATTGTATTTCACTCCTATAACTCCCAAAATAAACTGAAATCCCAGACATATGATATACCCTATAAATCAGGACAAATACAATAATTTATTATGAATTACTTTCTGTTAGCTACACTAATTATGTACACATTATTATTGCCAAAGCTGTGAAAACATTGGGTTTTTTTTCTTTTTTTGCATTTTTTTAATTATAAAAAAAAGAATTTATATATGCATATGTTACATCAAAATAAAGCCCATTTTGTCCTTTAAAAAAATGGTATATACAGTGGGGCAAAAAAGTATTTAGTCAGCCACCAATTGTGCAAGTTCTCCCACTTAAAAAGATGAGAGAGACCTGATTTTTTGCCCAAGCACTTGTAGTCATCATGTTTCTGAACAGCTGACTCCAACTCTCTTAAAGTGACACCAAACTCAGGCGCTAAATCTTAAAAATGCATTCACGTACTTTAACTATTAATACAAATGTATCTTATTTGTGTATCACTCAGCTGTAGGACCTCATATAATTTCTGAATTCATGCTGACACTCTTCCTTCCTTCTGGAGGGTGGCTACTCTTGTTCCCCATGGTCCCATGTGAGTGTTGTAAAGTAGCCACCATTCCAAACTTGCTCCCATGATAGACTATAATCTCAGTACAAGTAAGTAAACCGAATATGAAATTATAGTCCATCACAGGAGCGAGCTTGCAGCAGTGGCTACTTTACAGCAAACAGGGGCCATGGGGAATGGGGAATAAAAGTAGCCACCCACCAGAAGGAATGACAGTGTCAGCATGAATTCAGAGAGGATTTGAAAATCTACAACCCAGTTATACACAGATGAGCTGCATTTTTAAAAATAGTTAAGGTACATTAATGCATTTTTAAGATTTAACTCCTGAGTTTAATGTCACTTTA